GGTAGTTGGCAGGGCTGTCTGGCCCCAGTGGTGGCAGTTCTTGGGCTGGTTTTCTGTGTAGTAGTGAGGGCTATTCCCTTGCCACTATCACTTATTACCTGCCTGACAGCATCATTGACCGTGTTTCTTAGGCTGTTGGCAGATTTTTCAGAATATACAATGTAATATTTGATAATGTAAAATTATTACTTCAAGTCAATTATACCATTTCTCTCCTTGCTATGCTTTCTAGGTGTGCTTGTAGGTTAACTCTCTCACCTTTGCTAATTTTAATGTTTTTTATAATGCGTTTTGCTAGTGATTTAGCCATGATAAGAACAGTGCCAGTGCGGGAGCCATTTTGTTATTTTCAAATTTCATTCAATCTGGCCGCCATATTGTGCCCAGGGCACCTCCTTTTATACTGTGATCGACGGAAGCGATTTCATGACGTTGCGTGAATGGTTTTATAGTGCACCTTCTTGTTTAAGCGCAACAGAATGGTGCAAAAATTATCTTTCTAGGATAAAAACTGTAGGACTAGTTCTTCCTTAGTGGTGCATGCAGGCATGCATGCATTCATTGCCGTAAAACTATCTTGTGTAAGTTTTTAGCTACTTTTTATAACACTAACCTGTTTCAATAAAATTATAAAGGAAATCTTGACTGTCAGATAAGCTATAAAGAATTCCTGAAGATTTACACAGGCTCAATGCTTCTGGGATGGCAGCCATTTTGGGGGCGCGCTCGTCCAACTCAACCCTCTACATACCAAGCGCTAGCGCTTGGTAATAACATGGGAACTGATACCGTAATTACCTACCAGTTTGTGCCCATAGAATCTATCACCCTTCTAACAACAGAGCCACGTTGCATGCATACAACCATGGAACCCAAGACAAGATTTGTAAATCTATGTGCCATGACAACATGGTGCATAGATCAACATGGCTCCAATATCCATGAAGCCAGTTGCTATCTAGGTCTATCCCTTAATTTTGTTCATAAAAGTAATCATGTTCCTTTGTAGATCTCATTACAAAAAGTATATGACATGGCAAATAATTACAAAATACAGTGTCAAAGATCGCATGGCTGTTGGTTATACTCCAGATGGTGACGGAGCACCTCTCAATAAACCTTGGATATTCTATTGCAGGACAAACCATCAATAATTTAAACAAAGTAAGAGTAAAGAACATATTCAACTCTGTTTTATAAAACACACCATAGCTGTCTCAATTTTTTTATAAGGTTCATGTTTTTGCCTTTGACTAGGCAGCATTTTGTTTTCTGATTTTGAATCTATTTTAACATCATTAGACGAGAAATGTCTCTTCCATGTAAGTGAAACACATTGCCCTTACATGGCAGTAATCCTAATTTTAACAAATTTTGTCAATCCTGATGGGCAGAGTGGATTTGGAACTCCATGGGAAATTTTATTTGATGGAAATTACACCATTCATACAAAAGGAGGGAACATTAATGGTTACTTGGCTCTTCTTAGCTTTATACCCAATCACCTGAACTTCAAATAGGCAAGCATTGTTTTTGATTTATTATTGTTTACATTGAAGTAGGAATTAATGCTCTATTTTCTGGCTCAGTTGACAACGATACTTTTGCAAAAAAGCCTTTGATATATTTTCGCCACCGTTTGTTTCATTTTCTTCTGACAATGTTCCTCCTGTGCCAGCTCCTCCCAATCCAAATATATATGTTGGCCACTACAAGGCACTATTGAATGTAGTGACAGCAAATATCTTCGTTGAAAATAATAAAATGCCCACTGTAATTATAAGAGAGATACAAGTGATGAGTGTTCATCTCTATTATCATGATGTTCAATCAATGCAGGTATTACAAGGCATCATTACATTATATGTCATTGTTATATTTTATAGATGTATTATCCATCACATTTGCTGCCTTGCCTAACTGGTGATTTATTAGGACAATGGGTCTATTTCGATCCAGTTGATAAATCAAGTGGCAATATCACAGGATTTACTCATATTCCTCCAGTACACTTAAAAAGAGTATCTGAAGAATTTTAATGACTAATAATAAATTCCTTTAGTGTGACATGAAGTAGTTTTATGCATTAGATCCAATTTTTTGCTGATATGCTCCTTTTGTATTATTACCAATGCAATACACTGTACAGACTTAAAAGTGAGTGTTACTGTATTTTTATGGCTAACTATTAATGTTTGATACTCTAACCTTTAATGTAAATTGTCACATTCATCTTTTTGGTGATGGTTTGTACTGGATGGCTCTGTTTTCACAAATGCCATCCTCTACAATTCTTACTCACATAACATTCAAAGTTTCTGATCACTATCAAAATTACATTTGTTGATGATGCCACACAAATGGTTCCATTCACAGCAAATACACATAAATTAAAAATATACTTTTATGGATCTACCTACCATATTTCTATTCGTTTAATAATAAGCCAGAATAAAGGTAAATAGTAATTTAATAGCAGGAATAAGGATCCCACATCAGTTCTCAAATATTCAACTATATATAAGTGGCAAACTTCACATAGATAATAAAAATATAACAATTATTCTTTCGTTTATATTAATTAAAAGGAGATAAAAAATTAATCTAAAATACAAGTATGTTACATGAATATATCAGCCGATGCTTCAAAAATAATTTAAACTATTGCTAACTATACTGTATAAATGCATCCTTCATTTTCATAAATTTCAATCAGCTTATTCCATGTTGCATCATACTTTAGTAATATATCATTACCTAATTACATGACCACATAATTATTGCATTCAGAATTATCTCCCAATCCCTTACCAATGATTATAAGCCCATATCTTGCACGAGTGATGCCAACATTGATTTGATGATCATCAGTCAGGAAACCAAGATTTTCATTTAACCATTGTCTGTCAGGTTGAACATACTGTTTATACCTGATTTCACTGACTTCTTGTGATCTGACAGTTGTTAGTATGACAATATCATACTCATCACCTACATAATTTACAATAGTAATTAACATTATAAATTTTGGTTAATATTTACATACCTTGACTCTCAACTATAGTAGCAACACTTAAACTTTCCTTTGTTTTTAGCTCAGGGTCATTCTTTATCATTTCAGCAACAAGATTCTTTTGTGCACCATAAGGAGTGAGGACTGCTATGCTGTCATGTTTAACATCATGTTCTTTTACTAGCATTTTGATATAATTTACCTATCACAAAAAAGGAAAATTTAAATAATTTATTTTTGCAACTGCTTCACAAAAAGTAAAATGACAGAATGCATAAAGTACCTTACCACAGCTTCAGCTTCCTCATCATTACATTTAGAATGAGAATCAACTTTTCTTGAATATTTGTAATCTGTAGATCTTTCCATTCCATAAACTTTCAGAAATAAAACAGGATGTAGCTGTCCTCTAGGCCAAAATGAATCCATGGATTGAGTCAGTGGACCTCTGTCTTGAACAATTTGATCAGCTTTCAATTTACCATCATAAAAAATATTTGATGGTCCTTGGCATATGAATGAATGCTACACAAAATAAAATAGTTTATAGCTATACAACATAAGTAACAGCATAGCAAACAGCCATAATATATTTTATAGCATGCAATTACAAACTGGCCATTAACTTACCATTCTATACTGTAGTTCCAATGTTATCAAGTGTGGATCATCAGCTTCCTCAAACTGATTAGCATATCTCTCAAACAATGAAGTACCCAGGCCACACTCTTTGGCTGGAGAATATTTAACAACTGGTTGTAGCTGCTTGTGATCTCCTATCAGCACTACATGTTCACATAAACTGCTTGCAGCTATTGTCTCAGGCTCAGTGGCCATGCCAGACTCATCTATTATACACTGAGCTAGTATGTCTTTGGAACTCAACAACCGTTGACTGCATGTTTCATTACAAGTGCAAAGAATAACATCATAGTTATTTTGAATTTCCTTCATCTCTTCAAAAGTGATCAATTTCTTATACCTAGACAAGGAATAATGTAAGAATACAATGTACAAAAACAAACCTATTTCTTTCATCTAATGATGGGATGATACCTTGATCCAGTAGTTCTTTTAGTCTGCTCTCAGTAGCTACTATTTCAAGGCAATTGTGCCTTATTATTTCATGTAATGATTCATCACGAAACTCATCTAAAACACGACCCCCACCATCATCATGTCTGTTTGTTCTTTCTTGTGTCAGATCAAAAACAGGATCTGGATAATCATTACGCTCATGAGTGCGTCCATAAATACGAAGAATTTTTAATTTGTTGTTTAAAGCCTTCAATAAATGTAGGTTCTCTATAAATCATTGAAGATAACTAAAGTAATTTTTCCATATAAATTACTTACTATGAACCACATCTACTGATTTGTTAGAGGGACCACAATACAGTACTGACTTTTTCTTACAAGACATTGGGTCTTCTTCCGATATTTTTTTATTTGTTACTGAGAAAATGTAAGCTAAATGTGCCCCAGTCTCACTCTTTCCTGTACCTATATTATTACAATACATATTACATGCAAATCTAGCACAGTTTAAAGCTTTCATTACCAGGCGGTCCTTGAATCAACTGAAACTTATTTGTCAGAGCTCTTTTAATTGAATCTTGCTGTATAGGGTTTAATTCAATGCCACCTTCTCCTTTCCATAGTTGCTTTGCCAGTGGATCATAATTAAATACTTTAAGTGAAATTTCAAGTTCCTCTAAAGGTCAAATATACTAATAAATAAATCATAGAAATCTAAATTTACTTTTCGTAGCAGTGAGTCCATTAAAATAATTTGATCTAATTGTGTCAGAAATTAAAATTGTTTTAGAAAGGCTAGACCACTTATTGTTATCCCTTAATGCTTCTTTCATTCTTGCATATACTCGGCTATAAAAAGTAAAATTAATTATGTATGTAACAAAAGCTAAATAATAAATTGTCTCATTCCTTACTGAAAAGAATCTGGCATTGGTATTATCTGTATTTCACAAGTTTGGCTTCCTTTTTTCAATTCTTGATACATATTCTCTGTGACTCTACATGAGTGATCACCTTCAGCACACATTCTTATTATAATATTTTTTATATCCTTTCGATGTCTTCTTTTCTTTTTTCCTTGTTCAACACTAGTCACAACAAAATGATAGACAGCATTGAGACTATCACTTATCTCATATCGAACACAAAGGAAGTCACCAGATTTGATACTAATGAAATCCAATGAGTCTTGATTCTTAGGTGGTATGACAAGAGAAACTTCATCTTTTGGTACATAGTAAGGATCATCAACACAATTATCAACTCGACTAAATCCATTCCACTTTAGAGGAGCATGTCTAATAAATATGAGGTTTTTTGTCCTTACACTGTCGTAAACAGATTCTGCAATAAAGACTTTACTCCAAAGCTGTACATACTGTTCTATTGAATAATATCCAGTAGCAAGTGATGCATTTTGTAGCTGTACATCAGAGAAGCAGAGAGAAGGATACTTGTTATGATGAAGGCACACACGAACTGTTGGTGCTATTTCCATTAATTGAATAGCTGGTACTGGGAGACACTCTTTAAGAGACTTTCCTAGCCAAACTGTCACTATATCATTAGCTGTAAAAGGTCGTTGAATTTCATATGTTATTGCAACACTCTGTTCATCTCTTTTTGATTGGGGTTGGTCTTTACTGGCTTCTTGTTGCAACTGGAGAATTAGACTTTTTACTTCTTTAAAATTGTCTTCATTTTGACACTTAAGATACTGGTGTGTTACAACCCAGCATTCTAAACTAAGAGTAATGCCTTTATTACAAACTGCAAAATTAGAATTTGACCGATGAAGGCGTGGTTCTCCTTCTTTAAGCCCTTGTGTGTATTGATACAATTTAGCAGCAATGGAGCAATGAGGAGCTTTGAGACCAGAAGAAGGCATATCAATTTTCATTACATCAGGATGTGAGAAGAGGTTGAACGATTGATGCAATGATATTGACACTATTTTCCATACAATAGCTCCATCTTTAGTTTTGTGATGACTATTAAGATCTGATATGCTAAATGATGTGTCTTGGCTATGAATACACTCATAATGATTTGAAGTGAAAGATAACTCAAACAAGTCATTGCTTTTCTTAGAAGATTCAATCACAAAAGCCTCTGTTCTCTCTAGTGAGATCTCACAGCTTCTGGTTATACATGCTTTATTATCAGCTCTTTCAAAATCTTTAGCAGCTTTATTTCTGACATTCAGTTGAGAGCACAACTTAGCAAGTTTCTTATACATGTATATATCAGAATTTTCTGCTATAGACCTTCCTTCAATGAGTGATGTTACTAATCTCTGGACTATCAAATCAGCATATCTTCTGATAGGTGATGTAAAATGAGTATATGCTGGTAGCAAAAGACCACTATGAACATGATGATTACAGTTATGCTCACTGCTATTCTCCACAATATAAGTGGCTTTCCTATTGATTGTTCGTGACATAGCCTCTGCCATTGCTAGCTGTGGATAAAGCTTATTATTGCTAAGAATAGAAGCTAATGTGATGTGATCTCCATTAGAGCATGCATCAACAAGTAATTGAAGTGTTGTATTGGGCATAATAAAAGGAGCTGCTTGTTCATTGTTAAAGTCATTCAAGTAATAATTAAGAGACAGAGACTGTTGCAAGTATTTATGATTCTGCTTAATAAAATTATGCCTCTCAACTTCCAGAGGAGGTTGTTGTACTAAAAATAAGGCACTTTGTTGCGGGATTCTTTCCCGAAGATAATCAGCAATTGCTGCATTACAGAATATCATTAATTCTTCTATAAGAAGATGAGTCTGCCAGTTACTTTCTTCACCTTCCTCAGATCGATCATAACAGTAACCAGCATCATTTAACCTCTTAATGCGTAAGTACATAGCTATCTTATATAGTAGATTAAGAGTATCAGCCATTAGTAGGCTTGGTCTGCTGGCAGCATCAAAAGCTTCAACTTGCCTTCTTGTCTCAACATCAACCTCTTCATTATGCATTACCTTTTTAGCAGATTCATAAGTGAATTGTATTTGAGAAGTGACCATTGCTTCCTTTGGATCACCAGACACTACACTAGTTACCACTCCTTCTTCTATGACTACTGTAGCAGGTACACATAAAACATGCCGTTTTTTCAAATAGTCAAGGCTCAATTGAGACGTGATACTGGATGGAAACATGTGATGCACTCGTTGAGCACCTCTCTGTTTAGCACCATATACAGATGTCCCCCTCTGTTTAGCTTTCTTGTCTAAAGGATGGTTTTCATTTATACGTTTGGCAACATTAGCTATAAGAACTGCCAGCTCATAATTACCATCTTGAGGAAGAGGTGTCAAACTGACTGCATCATCTAAATCTTTAGATAAAGGAGGATCAATGGTAAATGCTCGATTATAATGATGAAGCTTGTTAGTTTCATTTGGAGGTTGAAGTGGTGCATGCACTTCTTCATCTTCTTCGTCAATGTAATATACAAGGTTAAGCAAATGATTAGTAAAGAAAAGGTTTGAAGTGCGTGGAACAGCTTCAACAACAGCTCCTAATGCCTTTCGATATTTTGGCTTCCAACAGAGGACAATAACAACAAACAAAAGACTTTGCGACAATTCAAATGGTATGAGCTCCCTTATACGAGGGATTTTATCATTAGCATCAAAAATTGAGTCTTCCCTAAACACTGTAATGTAATCATGCACCATTGGGGCCTGGTCATCCTTTGGACGATATCGAAGAAGGTTGTACGAAATTTTTGGAAGGTTAACAATGACAGGAGCTGTTTTATCAAGAGGGTAAAAGTTAATGAAGCCATATTGATCAGCACGGCATACATACCTAGTTGGATGCCGCTCTTCAATAACTTTTACTACTTTACCAGATGTCTTAACTATTACTTCTTTAGAGCTATCATCGGCAGAGGTATATGTGGTAACTTCCACTTGCACTATATCATTGTTGAAAGCTCCTCTTCTATTATTAAACCCATTAATAACTATGGGCTCCTTTGAGTGATCAAGAGGAACTGCAACAGCCGAACGATAGTTTTTAACTTGTAATTCACAATCAAAAACACCTATTTTCTCACCTTCATTCTCTTCACTGTCAAGTCCTATTTCATCCATATCAGATAAGCTTACATCAACAATATTCCATTTTGAATCATCAACCATTTTTAATTTGCAGTTTTTGTACTGTGGTATAGAATTTAATGCTTGCTGAAATGATTTCAATATGCTATCTTTAACAGACAAATGTATGCTTAAAGCAGGAGAAAACTTAAAAATTATCTCTTGCAGCATTTTAATAGGATCTTGAGTGATAGCGTGGCTTGTTTCATGGTTAAGTTTAGAAGGTACTACAAAAGTTTTAGAAAGTATACACCTTCTAATGTACTCTTTCCAACAAGAGCATTCATTACCCATGCTTTCTTCTATTGTCATCAATAGAAACGGATTACCAGCACACACTACAAGCGATTTAGCACGTGTTAATGCAGTATTGAATACATATTGACTGCAAGGAGTCTTGGTTGGATTTTTAGATCTGCCTTTTCCTGTAGTAGGCTCTGCTGTACTGAGAAAAATTGCCTCATATTCACAACCTATATACATGTAAAGAAAATAATTGTCATTTGTAAAATTTACAATACCTTGAATATCAAAAACAGTTCGAACATCAATGTCTTTAAGATGTGAATAATGAAATAAGGCTTTAATAACACAGGATTTCTGATTTTAAAAAATTAATTGACAATAAATAGAATTTTCGACTTGCTTGGTGAGCTGTTGTTGCCATAACACAAATTTTAGAAAGATCCATTTCACCCCATTGATCTGGCCAGCTCTTAACATATTTACTCAATTCTTGTAATAATATTGTGACTTCAAATTCATTTGTGTCAGTACGCACTTCTTTAGCTTCACTAAGATCAGAGCATATAAAGTGAAGAGGGTATTTAGCTTCAGGGTGTAGATGAGTGACAGCTTTAGCAGCGGTAATTAATGTAGAATCATAAAATAAGTAAGATGGAAGTGACAATATTGCATGATGACATCTAAAATTAGTGAGAAGAGTAGCAGAGTGTACTGATGAAGCATCAATTAGCCTCTCATCATTATAAAGAGTATAGAGTCTCTCCAGCAATGACAGACTAAGACCATTTTTAATAGCTAGTTTACCAAGTACTAACATAGAGGGACCAACCTATTTAATAAGTTATAATTGATGCTTTAATAGTTATATTATTACTCACTTGTTTGTGGTCTCCTGCAATTACAATTTTTGTATTATCATCAGCAAAACAAAGAGGAGCAACAGATTCAGGTTCTCGAGTCTGAGCACCTTCATCTAATAAAATATGACTAAAAAATCCTTCATGGACAACTTCAAGCATATGAACGGAAGTAGAAAAGGTTGTGACAATCACACTGATTTCGTCCAGCCTCTTGAAATGCCAATCTTTAATTGTAGCATAATACTTTGCACAAAATAAAGGAGCATCATAATCCTTAGAGGGTACCAAGCGAATAACCTTGCCACAACGCCAACCAGACTCAATCATCTTTGAAAAGTAATTGGCCATAAAAGTGTCTGCAGAGTGCTGATGATGAGCACAGATAAGAATCTTGCTTGTTCGGTCTTGTAGTAATATTTGATATGCAGCACGAGCAAGCAATCGTGTTTTTCCTGTTCCAAATGAACCTACAATTATAACAGGTGCTTTGTCAGCTTCACAGCTCATTATAGAATGAAGTGCCTTCCTCTGCGAATATTCTAATTTGACTATATCACGAACACATGAAATCAGACGAATATCTTCATTATTAAAAACAACATTTACATTGCTAAAATTACAAGGATCACTTGGCATTAGACGACTAATTATGGCTTGAGGTAAGTTGTCTAAGACCTGATGAAGGCGATCAAAATATGAATACTTTAAAACAAAGGTGACGTTGACATTTGATTGTTGTTCAACTCCAGGATTTATTGCAAGCCCCAGTAGAAAGTAAATTTTATCTTTTGTCTGTAGAATATCTGCTTGCACATCTCCAATAGACAAATGGAGAATAACTATACCTTCACTTGCCTGCATAGCATAAGCTATTGTATCAGCATCAAGTTGTGTGTTCCATATTGTATAAAATGATTTATACTTGTCTTGATACCTCTCAATGTGCCTCTTCAAACACAATTTAATACTTGACAGCTTTACATCATAGAGACCATTGCATCTAAATTATCAATACAAATCAACTCATTTATAATTCTTTCACATACTTGTCTCTAAGGATCCTCTCATGTTCATCTTCTTCCCGACACAATAACTGGTGAAACTTCTCTTTATAGTTGCTAGGAGTTAATGTAGCAGCTAGTAGCTCTTCATTAATAGGGCAATGGCTATGCTTTCTAAAGGAGCACGATGAAATAGACTTTATTACTGTAGCTATTAAATGATAATAAACATTACAAGTTTATAACTTTAACAATTACCTTCAGTAGTAGAATGTTTATAAGAGTTGGTAGATTTTGTCTTTGCTTGTAAGGTTTTTTTGAACTTATCACTGATAAATAAGTTCATGCTAACTTTTCTTCGTTTCTGAGATTTTGAATACTCTGGATTGTCATAATGAGGAACTGATGGCAAATTTTTTGGTGCTTTCACTGCACATTTCAATGAAGCATGAAGAGATGGCCAATTATCTAAATACTGCTGCTTTGGTGAAGTGATTGGAGGCTGTTGATAGTCTGTAATAGGTTGTACTTTAGAACCACTAACTACATGTATTTTGTTTTGATGATTTTTTGTTATCGGGAGTGTGCTTTTTGAGTTTTTCTTACTTTTTTGTGAAAACATTGCATGACTAGATAAAGACAGTTGCATCTCGCTTTTAACACTTTTAGAGCTTTTTTGGACTATAATTCCTTTAGAAGCAGAAGCCTCATTTAACATTGCTCTTTGTGACGAAGTATATGACAATTGAGATGAATTGCTTAATGGTGATTTTTGACATTGCTGTGGTGTTAATGACAGAGCATGCGAAGACTGGTGATTGGAGAACAAAGGAACATCCACTTGAGAAGCGCAGTCAGCAAAAGATTCATATCTTTCGATTAATCGTTGAAGTAAAGAAACATTTAAACCAAACTGTTGTGGATCTTTACCAAAAACAAAATCAACCTACAGTTACACAAAAAAAATTAAATATTTAAATGCTGAGATAATTATATTCTGAGAATTTAGGGGAATAAATGTACCTTACAATGATCCCCAGCAATAACAATCTGAGTATCCTCATTTGCCATTAAAAATGGACTGAGAACTTTAGGTTCACAAATCTGAGCTCCATTATTGATTATAATATGAGTAAAAAAATAAAAATCAAATTTTCTAGATATGTTCAGTGCTTCATCAAATGTTGTTACCAATAAAAAGGCATTTTCATGCTGATGCTGTGATAGGTTAAACTCAGTAGCTTGAACATAGTGGTAATCTAACTTTGGTTCATACTGTGAGCCTACAGCACAAACCATTGTTACATGGCAAATTTCAGTCATATTTTTCTTAAAATACTCTATGAAAAGATCAGCAGAATTTTGATGATGGCAACAGATTAAAATACGACAAGGTGAATGGTGACCAGTCTCACGATGCTCTCTGAAGAAACATTCTGTAGCCACAGCAAAAAGACGAGTCTTACCACAGCCAAAAGCACCAGGTACAAGTACAGGAGCTGAACACTGGTTACTGAGTATTGCTTCTAATGCTGAAATCTGCTCAGGATCAAGATCAATTCCTTTCTGAAGATGCCTTCTTACATCAATGACAGCCTTTCTTGGGGGGTTAAAATCTTTTGGTTCTGGCAAAATTCGTCGCAAGGCTTTCATGCTAATTCTCTTAATAACTTCATGGAGGCCATCAAAGTAACGGTGATTAACTTTAAATGTTGCTTTTACTCTTAAAAAGGATTGGTTTTGAAAACTTTTCTCAAAAGAAATGAAAAGCTTGTTATTGAGATGACCAATAATTTTTCCAAGACAGTTCAAATGTCCAATATTAATGTGAATATATTGATCACTGACTTGCATAGCATACAGAACCTGTGTTGAGGACATTCCTTCAAGATAATAAAAGCTACCATCTTCCTTTTCACTAAAGTGTTGTGGCCAGTGTTGCACCAGATTATAAGCACCATCACACCTGTAATAAGAATTAAATACCTTATGGGTACAAATTTTGAGGACATACATGTAGAATTTGAAATTCATACTTTTGTACAATGCTCTTAATTTTTTAATTTCAGGATTAAATTTCATGTCATATCAATACATGTATACAGATGTATTAAGTACAGCATGCACATGTCTTAAGTACAACACACACAGTACACATATACAGTAAAAATTTCTACGGTTTTAATTGGTCTCGCTATAGCAATTAGAGTGGGGAAAGGTTATGTAGTTAAGTTTAATGTCTGTCATTGATTCAATGTCTATAGCAACTCTCAGAGCAACAGGTTTTGTGGCTTTAGGATTCCCCTACAGTCACTAGAACTTCACAGGCTAGAAAAAGTTGCTTTCTGCCTTTAGCATAATAAATGGCAGTGCAAGGCACTAAAAGCCATCAATTTTACCAAATGCATAAGTTTCCAATGAATTTTTTTCTGTTTCAAGTAATAGGGCTTTATAGTATCTTAAAGAGACACAAAAACTAAAATAATTATTCTTTTAGAGACATGATTTTCTAAAAATCACTAACCTCCAAGTTTACAAAGTGCTTGTCTTTAGGAAGTTTATAACTTCAGACTCTTGACAAGAGCTTGTATGCAACAAATATAGGGCCTAATAAATGTGTGTGAGCACTGTGCACTAAGTAGAAGTCCAAAAAAACTTAAGCTTTAGTCCATGAGATACTACTTCACTTTAGTAATCATGTTTTCACATTCAGTTTGTTTTGCAGCCACCGTTAGCAATCACAACAAGGCAGTGAGCAAGTCTGAAGCCAATAGTAGCCAAATAACATGTACATTTGTACCAAATAATAGTGGTAGTTAAATAATATCGTAATCGGGACAGTTTTATTGAAAATATAAACAAACATGTAAAACAATTTTTTGTTTTTTGGTGACGCCAACACACCAACGGTGTCTTATTTTGTGAACAAAAAATAACTCACGAAATCCACAAAATTAAATGTCCCATCAAATTTTATACCCGTACAGTATGAAAAGATTTATATTTTGAAATAAACTAACTTTTGTCTTAGTAAGTGAATGCGTTCCAGTTCTTCATAATAGAGCAAGGCAGTGAACTTGGATTTATAGTTATCTAGTGTAATAGGTAGCTTCATGTCATCACGTGTGGGAGGATTGGCCATCCTTTCTTTGTACAATGACTCTACTTTATCAGCACCTTTCTATAAAGAACAAAATACATAGGCAAATTATACTTCCTTTTTTGCCTATTACTGCCCAAAATTCCATCCTATTATGCTTTAAAATGAATCCAATTATGTTCATATTATAAGTTTTATTCAAATATCAACTATCAAGTTACATGTACATGTATATACAATTGTTATAATTGCAATATTGTAATAATGTCAAAATCTGAAAATGTTTCCAACAACTTTGAGTCACTGCAAAATAGAACAACCAAAGCCAATGGACTTGCACAATTGTGTGGGTCGCCACGCTTAAGTACATGGAAATTAAGTTGTTGTACTACTACTTGAAATAATATTGTCAGGGTTATAGAGCCAGAAATTTTTGACCAATTATGCCATTATAATAAGTTGCTCTATTATGTTACGAATTATGCTAACATAATTTTGCCCTAAAACAAAATACTGCTATAACTTAAGCCTTAATGTTTAAAATTAATGCTAGGTCCAGCGTAAAAATTTAATGAAATGCATAGGCATTTTGACTTATTCACACATGCTTTCCACTAGAATGGAACAAAATCCTATTCCAATGTCAAAGTAACATTAGGCCTAGTGTCATAGTAAAACTGATCTTTATAATGTTAAGATAATACGAACATTTATGAAAAGAGAACATTAATGAATTTAGGGTGGGGAGCCATACACTCTTGCGCATACAAGTATGTGCCAAAATGAAATTTAGCTAATTGTAATTGCTAGAGGATATTTCTGAAACTTCAATTCATTGAATTATAAAATTTTTGTATACAGTATAGAAATTTTAAAGTCAATGAGTTGTCCTCATTTCAATTAGCCTAATTTGGAGCTAACTAGTTTAGCTCCAAATTAGGCTACTTGAAATGAGAACAAATTCACTGAAACTTAACTACATGTAGGTATTAGACTATTTATGGCTTTTGTTAAATAAATTTTTAAAATTAATTAACACAATACTTTATTCACAATATAATAATTCCTTCAAGCAATTCACACACTTTCATTATTGGCCCAAATTTTAACTTTTGATTGAATTTATACATACAAGATGCACTTGTATTGCAATAAAATTAAGATTATGAAACTTGAAAAATTTTATACCCAAATTATGGAGCAAAGCAAAATGGTAAAAAATGATAACCTATGTCACTACAGTATGATGACAATAGGAAATGTTAAAATTTGCATCAAATAATACTGTACATCTTATTTACATTTTGTTAACACAAAATTCATAATTGCCACAAAATATAAATGCTATAATAGTAATTTAATTCAACTAAATTAGAATAAAAACACAATACAGTTTTGAAATACACAGATGTAATTCTTATAAAAAGCAGTCAAGCTATGGGAAATTGTGATTATAGGCTTATTAAACATTTTTTTCCATTTTTAATACGGTATTGTATTACCAATGATGGATTTATGTATTCTGTACATGTAAATGTAAAATATTTTACTGTATAGTGCAAAATTTTCGAGGGCTGTAAATTTTGTAAATTTGCCTAAAAATCTATTTTGCGGATTTAATTTTCGCGAACTTCTGCCGTCTGCCATCTTGTATCGTAATAATTTGATTTCGCAGAAGTAAGTTTCGCAAATCTTCAAAAAATCCCAAAAGCCACAAAATTTACAGCCCTCAAAAATTTTGCGCTATACAGAATTTATCATAAAGCACAGTACAAGATTATAATAGTGACACTGACTTACACATGCTGGTTCAATACTGCGATCATGAGTAAAATCACGACTCTGGCAGATATCAGGAACACTGTGAGCTGATATTGGTAAGGCAGGAGCAGGTTCATACTCATCTTGACTCTTCTGAGATACTGCCATTCTCTGTAAAAACACAAATATCATAATTTGGGAAGTTTTTCAGTTGAATAAATTTTGCAACTACATGAAAAACTTATTGACAAGAACAGATTTGCTTTCATTGCTAGTAGCATTTGCTTTTTGCCTAATCTAATCAGTATCATAAACCATAAGCTCTTGGGTTGGAAATGTGGATTTATTGGTAAATTAATTTTGTAGGCATTATTTACAATTAGCACAAACATTTCAAATGTAAAATTTATTCAAATAAATTTAAAAAAAAACTATAGTTTTAAACATAGAAACATGCAGGAAGAGTGACTGACCTATAACATATGATATCAATCAATAATCATAGGAACAGCTGGTGCATCCACACCACGACAGAGTTAATAATAGGAGTAGACTTATCGTCAAATAATTAGACTAAACTTGGGCCAATTCAATTGTGAATTACATTATTCATTATTGCTTAATAAAACAAACCTATCTTTTAAAGAAATCATATTTCATGAATTTTATAAATCAAGTCACCATTCAAAAAAATAAAACAGCAATTGTGGGTGCTACAACTGAACAGCAAATTTACAGAAAGGCTGAGAAAGGTCAAAAATAATTTCATTAAAAAGTAGGACCTATAGGTGGCATGGTCTGAGAAAATGACCCTTAGCTCTATAGATTTAAGGTCACTTTTCCCAGAAAATGTCACAATTAGGATTAGGATATTTTACTTTAATAACACTAATAAAAACGGTCATTAAGTTTGTAGTGCATTATATATTTAGCAACTTGTTAGTTTTGCGTTAATAAAATAATTAAATAACTCACAATACAGCTCTATTTTAATTTTAGTGCCTACTAAAATTAGCATTTCAGATTCCAATCACTAAAATTGCTAAATTTGCAACTCATTTTTAATAGTGACATTAAGGTTTTGGGGAAGCATGAGTGAGCCCCACTCAAATTAATTAGGCATATTTCGATACATCTTGCTCACAAACAGGGGCAAGCAAATTTTGAGTAAGTATTATAATGATTGAAATTACACCATGAGTCCATGTAGCTCAGGGTGTGGTCACAGTGTTAATAAATGGGGGAAAACTTTTGAGTTTTCTAAGTTTACAAAAAGATAAGAGAGAGGAGCTGCCCAAGCATTTCTATATGCTACTACAGCAGCTCCTTTGTAAGATCATTCTTTTAGCTTAAGTTAAAAAGTTTAGTGACCATTCTGAAAGATTGCCCCATACCACTTTGTACAAGAGTCAGTATGGATTACGAACCCCTTGGTTAGGTCTTTGCTTTATTTTTTAAAACCAATGCTGCAGGCACAAGCTCTCTCAAATCTCTGTATACAACTTGTATACAGAAAATGTATATAGCATTCTCTGAGAAATTTGTTTTGGATTTAGCCACATTAAATTACTTTTCCCATTTTCTACTGCTCCTATTACAACCACAACATTAACACTTAATAGTACAATAACAAATACATACAATAACAACAAGTAAAGTTACTTGGGGCTATTCCAACCCATTTCTGCACTATGATCTAATTAAATATTCACAAAGTCATAACTCACTCTTCTTTGCTTTATTTCATTCATTTTATTCATCAATGAGTTCTATTTCGTCTATTCTATTTGTACTTTCTTGAAATCAGTGAAATTCAGCTTAAAGTTTGGATGAAAACAGTACTTTCACTGACTTAGTTGTTGGGACTATTCTGACTTACCAGGGCTATTCTGACCCTCCGGATACTAACTTGTACTAGAACAAAAAAATTTAAAAAATTATTTAGTGTAAGGTTGAGTCTCTGTTGGATTTGAACCATTAAAATTAATTCAAACAAGCCCCTATAGGATTGCTGCTTTGAAAGTATAAAATGAATTCAAACAAGCCCCTGTAGTGTTGTATCACCATTAAAACACCAACATGTCAACCCTACACTGCAGGTATGAAATGGCCTATAGCAGGATTGATGAGTATTGCTGTCAATGTTAGTGTGATAGTTAAATGATGAAATGAGGATTAGGGTAAATCTTGTGCACGCCTTCAATTAAGTTTAAAGTAATGATACTAATGATTGGACAATTATACCTACAGTGTAGGGTTGACATGTTGGTGTTTTAATGGTGATACAACACTACAGGGGCTTGTTTGAATTCATTTTATACTTTCAAAGCAGCAACACTACAGGGGCTTGTTGAATTAATTTTAATAATTCAAATCCAACAGAGGCTCAACCCTACACTAAATAATTTTAAAAATTTTTTTGTTCTAGTTTCCATCCTTTTTTAAAATAAACAACACTGTTTTGTTGAGCATTAATTTTTAAGCAGTTATTTGGTAAAATTTTGAAGAGTATTTCTTAATTTTTAGGTAATCCTGAAAGTGCATCCAAGGCAGTTGAAAGAAGCATCCTAAACTGTTGAAAAGTAAGTAAAATAACAATATTTGTTAAAAGCAAAATTAGATCTATGTATATTTAACAGAAATAAAACTCGATGAGAGGAGTTTGAAATGTTGTACTCATTACAGGAGGCCTAAAAGGAGACGACAAGAAAGTTAAAAAATTAATTGTATTATTATGAACAAGTGTGATGCTAAAACATTTGTGGTACAATTAAGTTATAATCTGATTACAAGTCATGTTAAGAAAGCATGCAAATGTGACAGTATTGGAATGAAGGAACTCAACAGAAGTGGCATTGTATGCAATGATTCCAGGCTAGGTTAACTTAAGTTGAATAAGGAAAAGTTATGTTTTATATGCGTATGAGTCTTCAAAACTACATTTTGAAAATTTGAATGAAGTGGTATTGCTTGTAAATGAAGTGTCATGCGTAATGTACAGGAAACAAAGAAAGAATTAAATTTCAAGTACTATAAATTTACCTAGGTTTATTAATGGAGCTCCAGTGTGAGATAGAGAGGGACAGAGGAAAGGGAGACACATGGGGGTGGGAAATGGAGACACATGGGGGTGGGAAGAAGGAACTGACGGAGGGAGAGAGAGAATTATGAGTATGTTTGTATAAATCTGACAATGTATACATGTACATAACATCGTGAACTTGTGTGTCTTAAGGAGAGTTGGAGGCATAAGAGTATGAATAAGAGTGGGTATTGGATATAAAAATTACCAGTAGTGGCAAAAATGGCTAGTACATGTACTACTATGCAACTGAAGCAGCAAGTGTAGTTTGTTCGTGTGTATACTTAAACTGAGTGAAGAAATATTGACTCTTCCAATACACTACATGTACAAGAATATAAACATGACACTCTGAGCAATAAATATAAGTCTACATGTCATGCAGATACAATATGAAAACTGCATCTAACTGTCCTGAAACCAAGCAGTTGGCAGCTCTAAACCATAATAGCGGGACATTTTGGAAGGAGTTAAATTTGGTAAATTGCTAAATTTTGGTGGTTGGCAGATTTTTATTTCATCAAAATGCAAATTTAATTCCCTCCAAATTTCCAAAATTTCCTGCTATATGATATGTTTTGAAGAATTAATGCAACAATGATTAAAAATTGTTTGTAATTATGTAATTAAATCTACTTTAAAAGGTACACATTATCATACTTAAGTATTAAAAGCATGTATACACGTATTTTGTAAATGCACTTGGATTTTACTTTAGTACTTAGGGCTTTTTATTAAATAAACACCAAACATTGAAGGATACAAAATGTAGAAAAAAAGAAGCAAGCAAAGCAGGTTACCATACACATACCTGTAGTCTAGTTATAGAAACAGTCACAGGCTTTAAGTTGTATCCATATGTTGCTGATAGACAAGAGTACAATCTTATTTTATTGACCATTTGCTTGAAATAAGCTCCTGACTCCTTCCCATTTAATATCTACCACTTTATTTCACTGTAGTAACACCTGCTAATTAATAAGCATTATAAATAATGAATATTTTTGCCCTAATAAAGATCCCTGGCTCAGGCCACTCCAATCATAGTATCCCATTACAGAGGTGGGTGGCAGATACATGTATGTTTATTCCCTTTATTAATTTAGTCATTATCACTTGTATAAACTATATGTATGTGTATAATTAATGTCTGACCGCAATAACGTAGGTCAGGACATATTTGTGGCTGCTAATATTCACAATTTTTTACTGCACCTGCCACTCAGCAAGTATCATGCAGACGTGATTCGATATTAAAGCAAAGCATCCTAATGCAGTGTTCTTGTGTTGTTGTTACTAGCCCGTAAGCTGCTTTAACCAGTTCTTTTTAGAACTAATCTACTTACTTACTGTATCTTGAAACTCTTCACCCATTCCATCTAGTGTTTATTGGCTTGGGTGTGGTTTGTTATGATAACTGGCCGACCAGCAACAATTTGCAGCAATGAGCTTGGAGATAGAGTTTCATACAAGAAGCTAATAGAAACAGAACAAGTTGCTATTGGTAAAATGGCTCGCCTAAAGCTGCTAAAGAATAAAAAATTAGCTGAACACTGTAAACACATGGTCTTGTAGACATAACACTTTATCTATTTCCATGGTATACATACTTAATTACACTTTCATTATTGTGAATATTAGCAACCGTAAAATATTACTTATGGTAACGAAATAGCGATGGGGGACCATGTGGGTGAGAAATGGGACAGGAATATGAATCTCATTAGAGTGGCCTAAATATAATAGTAAGGCATAGTCTGGGCCACACAAGTCAGTCCCTAATCTAAACCACGTGGCTGCACATGGAGCTGGAAAGGGTATTTCAGCCCCACCCTTTAACATACTCATAATGCTTTACTCAATGTATAAAACCGACAATTTACTTTATTATATTTACTTGAAGAGGTTGAAGTAATGAAGAGATTGAAGTTAATTGAAGCATATGAATTATAAACAGAGAACTCAGTGGATTATGTAGATAACTAATCAATCAACTGAATTATAATTTACAATAATTAATTTTCTCTCACTTGAAATAATTGGTGTAAGCAGATAGGGTGTTTAGGTACGCACATCATGTCAATCTCATCAGAGATCAGTCCGGGGATCAGTCAGTGACTCGGTCAGTAAGCAAAGGCTTTAGTTTCCATTAAAATGATACTGAGCATGTGCAGTTGGCTGGATCAAAATGGCGTCTAATCACTTGGTGAGTTCATGGGTGCTTCAAAATGACGACCAAAAATCATTTTGTAGAAATAAAATGCCAAGCCACACTGCACTAGCGTCCCTAAATTGCAATACAATGGTGCAAAAATCATTTTTCTACGATAAAAACTGTAGCACTAGTTCTTACTTAATTGTGGAAGAAGGAGAAAGAAACCTGAACATTTGGTGCATGCAGGCATGCATTCATTTATTTGCCGTAAAACTATCTTATAAAAGTTTTTAACTGTTTTTTATAACACCAACCTGTTTTAATAAAATTATAAAGGACATCTGGACTGTCAGATAAGCCATAAAGAATTCCTGAAGATTTACACAGGCTCAATGCTTCTGGGATGGCAGCCATTTTGGGGGTGCACTCGTCCAACTCAACCCTACATACCAAGCGCTAACGCTTGGTAATACAGGAAATTTATGTTGTGACTGGACATATACATGTACAAACACTATTACTATGTGAAAAAGCTAACGAACACAAATTTTTAGCCAGAATTACTTAGCTGCACTTTGTAAAGATCAAGCTGTTCTTTGGTGCTGGTAGTTAGAGAATTCTATGCTGAATAGACATGTCCTTGTTTCAGTTCTGTATCTGCTATAGTTAAGGGAGAAAGAGGACCATCTAACTGGGGCTATTACTAGGGCTAGGCAAATTATGCTGGCATAATTTGGAGCATAATGGGTCAAATATTTCTGGCCCCCACATGATTTCAATTCAATATGGCAAGTGGTACAAGTACTATCAACCCAACTGCTTAGTAACTGCCTATGCAAGCGTGGCAAGTCCAATGACTCAGACTATCCTATTTTCCAGTGACTCAAAGTCACTGGAAACATTTTCAGATGCTGGCAATAATTGCAATTATAAGAGATGCATGTACGTGTAAATGTAACTTGATAGTCGATATTTGAGTAAAGCTTAAAGTATGAGCATAATAATGAGCATAACTGGATTCATTTCAAAGCATATTAGGATGGAATTTGGGGCAGTGCCTAAAAGCATAATAAGTAAAAAGTGAAGCATAATTTGCCTAGCCCTAGCTATTACGACCGCTACACACGAATTTTACATTGGTTTATACAGGGGGACAGAATAGCCCCGACTGACTCTATACATTATGACTCTTGTACAAAGTGGTGTGGGACAATCTTTGAGAATGGTCACTCGGCTTATGTTGCTAAACTTTTTAACTTATCCTATTCAGTCTTCATTAGTAACATTAGGTATTATAATTACAAAAATTATATATTATCTTTTTATAGTTGACTAGCTATTAAAACTAACCAGAAACTAACCAAGTAGTAAAACCAAAGCGAGTAAATCTTTAAGCTGGCAAAAAGTACTATGGTCTAGTCTATTTGGTCTGGGAAATGATCGTGACGACGTGATGCCACTCCTTGTATGTCGTATCTATGCTTGGATAACCACCACTAAGGTCCCGAGGTAGAGCAAGAGGGAATTCTGATCTATGCCTATTTTCTGAACTAAGTGAACTTCTGATCATAGATAATAGAGTTAAATTAATAGAGTTCGATTTAGACCACGCCCTGGTCACGCTCGGTGCATGCACCCGGTAGGGGTAGGGGGATTATCAGTGTCTCCATATTCGGGGATTTTCCCCTAGATTTGGGGAATTTTTACCCCATCTGGGGACTAGGGGAGGATTTTTGAAAATTACCCAAAATCTGGGGATTTTTCTCATTGCCTTAAATTAATGATATTCATGAGAAAATAATAATATTCATAGAAAAATTAATCATATTCATTGATAAAAGAGGTGTGGTTTTAGTTAATAATTCATATAGGAGTGGTCAAATATATAAATTTTGGACATGGTTAATAAAATTATGAGGATTTTTATGACTCAATCTGGGGATTTTTGGTAAAAATCTAGGGATTTTTGTCAAAATTTGAAATCTAGGGATTTTGAGGAAATTTTTTGGCCAAGTTAGGGAATTTCTAATTAATGCCTCTGGAGACACTGGGGATTATTCCTAAAAATTTTCATATTATTCTATTCAGCATATCTCTAAAAATCAAGAACTTATTCTCCAAAATGAATCAAATATTCTCAAACAATTCTCTTTAAATAATACTAATAGCTATTACTGCAACATAGCCATGCCTCAACATGGTGAAAAAGTAATGAGTCTTGCTTATAACTAAACTAGAAGTCAAAAAATCTTACTAAATGTTGTGTATTAGATTCTTAAAAGGATGCACATAATTGGCATGAGCTCCTCTCTCATAAAATTTCATTGTAGAAGCCATTTTTATTCCATGTGCCACCTTTTATTCCCAAAATTATTCTGTATTCTTTTACAGGTTATTATTCCCATTTTTATTCCCACCTAATCCCCTTACCCCTAGCACCCGGTTCTCGTTTATTAACCAGTCAGTTGTCCGGACCAGACACAGTTGACCTTTGATTAATAATTGCAAAGTTCAATCAGGGATATAATATACTAACGTAACCGGGCTGGATGTACATGTACATGTATGTGTACCATGCATGTACACGTACATGTACATACATGTACAGGGTTTAATTTACGGGTACAATGCAGTTTACCGGTGGCAACAGCAACTGGCTATTTTACCGGATGTAGTGTGACTAGTGTCACATGACTTGGGTGTGACCGTAGCATAAGTGGGCGTGGCCCCACACACGTGGCCGGTACGTGAGTATAATAAATCCCTGGTTCAATGGACCTTTTGCACTTAAGCGATTCTAATTAACGCGCACCCAAAGTGGTGGTAAAATGGCGGATTTTTGGAGGAAAGACAGGCTGAACAATCTTCTCTTTTATCCAGCCATTCTAGCTGTAGGAGCCACTTTGAGCTGTCCTTTTGTTTCAGTATACTCTATTTATCTCTTCTGTAAGCTCTTTGGTTGCTGTTTTGGCTTTTATAGCATTTTATCATAGGAATATTCTCACCCATTGGCAATTCCCGTTTTTCTAAATTTTGCTTTCAGGAGCCAAGGCGCTTGCCCCTCCATTGCCATGAAGACAGAAGTGTATTCAGCTGAGTCCTATGACTAGTGTCTATCATCAGAGTTAGTCTCAGTCCATCAGAACCAGGTACGGTGGAATAACTCACTCAGTTGTCATGTTGCAGCTGGAGTGTGGATGATTATGACCATCTTTTCACTTCTTAAAACTATAGGTTGGCTCTTTTATAGATAGTTGAGGCATGCAAGAGCTCATTCTTTATCTGTACATTC